TGGGGAGAGTGGGGCCCTTGGGGGCCGGGTTCACGGACATGTGGTGGGGGTGTGGAGTTTTCTCACCGCGAGTGCACTGCTCCAGTGCCACAGAACGGGGGCTCGTACTGTGTGGGACAGAGGGTCAAATACCAGTCCTGCAATACTCAGACATGCCCAGAGGACCATGGTAACATTTTATAAATAAACCTCCATACACACACTGGGTGGCAGAGGTCACATTATTGAGGGCTAGAGAATGAGTGAGGGGAGTGAATGAGGTCAAGAGATCGAAAGACTATGCATTTGTTATAATCACATTATTCTTAGTGGTGCACCAGTGACCATTTTTTAATCCACAGGAAAAAGCTTCAGAGAGGAGCAGTGTGAAAAGTATAACACTGACCGTTATTTGGACATTCAAGGAAACATGAAGCAGTGGATCCCCAAATATTCCGGTGTCTCTCCACGAGACCGCTGCAAACTCGTCTGCCGAGCCAAAGGGAGCAATGAATTCAAAGTTTTTGAAGCTAAGGTGCACATCCGCTGAAAACGTTTTCTAATCTGATCAGCAATAATGACAACATGTGAAAGAAATTTTAGTCTCTTCTGTGTATGTGCCTGCTCTAAAGCTTTACTAAGACGTCAGATGATCTCTTTCTTAGACTTTCCTCTTGCCACAGGCCCATTGATATCTTTACACTCCCACTAAACTCTCATGCATGAAATATTTTCCCTGTTGTAAAATGTGAAACCTGAGCACCCTAACCCTACAGTCCAGCTACTTGCTTAAGCTCTTGAGTGCACCTCTGTAACTGATATTTCAGATACAGTTGAAATGTACTTGGTTTTGCGTCATCCGCCCAGAGTTTTTGCTATTCCGCTTTATGTGGAATAGCCATTATGTTAGAACAGAATACACTGGAGCACTTAGGCTGCCACTGCAATAAAAGTGTTTTGTTTATGGTTTTCTGTCTATTCTAATGCTGATGTTTCATATGTGCTGTGCAGGTCGTGGATGGCACCACCTGTGGGCCAGACACCACATCTATCTGTGTTCAGGGCCAGTGTATCAAAGCTGGTTGTGACCAGGTGATAGGCTCCAATGAAAAGCTGGATAAGTGCGGTATCTGCGGAGGTGACGGTACGAACTGTAGGAAAATAAGCAGCTCATTAAACAAAGCTACGTAAGTATAGATTGTATATGTAAGCATTACTAATGCCATTTAAAATGATGGAACAAAGGTGTGAGCTACTGATATAACTGAATATATCCATAACAATATTATAATGTACAGTATGAAAAATGGATATTCAATGGAGATTACCAGTGGAACAGTGTTATTAAATTATTCTGTTTTTTATAGATTGTCTTTAAGTGAGCTAAGGTAGTCTAAATGTAAAAAAGGGTAAATGATCATGTACAAATGAAGTATCCAATATAATATTGATAAATTAAAAAATTCCGAGCTCCAGAAGGGGGTTTTCACAATGATACCATAGAAGAACCATTGTTCTGTGAACAGTTCTTAAAAGAAAGTTTTTTGTCTTAAGGTGTGGTCACAGTAGTAAAATTGCAACGAAATTTTGCAAACAAAAAAAGTCCATTGTCTATAGAGGGTTATGCCCGCTGAGTGGCAGCATTAGTGTTCAGCTTGAATGCAGTGAAAACAAAATGTAGTTTCTACAGAATATATTGAAACAACCAAAATATTCATTTGGGTTCTCGTCACTTTTGACATAATGTCATTTCTGCCTTTAACAAGTTTTAGGGCTGGGTGATATGACAATACATAACAATGATCATCCATATTTGGATCTAGCTATATTGCATTTATAGTGTTGTCTAACAGATCAAGTATGCTACAGTATGTACATGGACACTGGTTCTCTGAGTCCAACTGCCTTTAATTTAATCAGTTAATATTTTTTTTACTCCCGTTTTCACAGTCTGGCTGAGTGGGCATGTTCTGTCACGAAAGTGACATCAATGCATATACCCTCTATTATCACTAACACAGAAATGTATGAAGCACCCTTCACACACAAGTCACTTTCAAAACAAGCAAGTTTTTATTGGTCAATGCGACAAATTCATGTGACCAACTTGAAAATGAGCAAAACCTGCATGGGAAAGTTTTTCGCCCTCACATAAAACTTGTGATAGAACAGATTACTATTGGAATAGTATCCTATTCAATTAGAAGGTGTACCACACCTTCAGAGTAAAGAACAATGGAAAATTCTGCAATGGAAAGATTCCATGGATGTTAAAGATATTTCATGGAACCAGAGATGCTAATAAAGAACCTTTCATTTTAAGAGTGTAATGTCACCCGATAACCAATATTGTACCGATATTCATATGATACATTGTTTGCCTATAATATCTCCACAGTATTGGCTACACTGATATTGTTACCATCCCTGCTGGGGCGACTAATATTGACATAAAACAGCGCAGCCATCGAGGCATCGCACACGACGGTAACTACTTGGCGGTAAAGGCAGGAGACGGAACCTACATCCTGAATGGGAATTTCTCAGTGTCTATGGCAGAGCAGGACATCCCAGTGCCTGGCGCCATGCTTCGCTACAGCGGCTCTTCCACCACCTTGGAGCGCCTCCTCAGCTTTCACAGACTTCGGGAGCCCATCACAATCCAGCTGCTGTCCACCGCTGGGGACACCTCACCCCCTAGAATCAAGTATACTTTCTTTTTGCCGAGGGATGTGCCTTTTAGCAAGCCTGGCACAGAGAGCAGGATTTCGCCACATGTCATCTTGCCCTTTGGGGGAGCTGACTGGGTCCTGGGTGAGTGGTCTGAGTGCTCCAAGAGCTGTGGTGCTGGATGGTCCAGGAGAAGCGTGGAGTGTAGAGATGGGGAGGGATCCTTGTCTTACCTCTGCGATGCCGACCTGAGACCGGCAGACATCCGGCCCTGTGGGGATCTGCCCTGTCCCATGTGGCAAATGGGGCCGTGGTCAGCGTGCTCACGGACTTGTGGAGTCGGACAGCGCCACCGCACTGTAGTCTGCATGGACTACACGGGCAAGATTCTAGAGCATGAGAAGTGCAACCCAGACAAGAGGCCAGAGGTAGTTGTAGCGGAATGTTTTTATCAGGACTGCTAAAGCTGACATTGTGTGCAGTAGTAGAGAATGAGGAGGTGGTGGCATCCGTAGTGACTGAGAAAAAGCTTTAGAAACAAGCTAAGAAGCTCTTGGGGATAGAGCATTAGATTGGAGATCACTTGTCAAGCATAACCAGGACATTTGATATGAGTTATTATCTATATCATGGTTTAGTCTAATTCTCTGTCTTTTAACCACAAAGGTAACCTCCCACGGAGATCTACCTCAGTCAATACAAGCTTCATAATGTTCACAGTTGTTTAGAGAGGAGTCCGTTGGAAAACATTTGCACAAACCTGCTGAAATTAGTCCAAATTAAGGTACCTAAAGATGGTCACATAAATGATTCAAGTCAGATCATCCACCTTTCTAGAACTGTCCACAGCGAACTGCATTTTAGTATCTTTATACATGCTAGACTAATTGATTTCACACATTTATTTTAATTGCCAGCTTATGTTTTGTAGCATTGAGTCTGTTTCGTATTAATATCTACTCCTTTTAATACTGGTGTCACCCTCAAAGGCTTTCAGATTTTTCATATTGCAACACTGGAGGAAACAGTATTTGGAAGTACAGTCCTTTACTAGTCTCACAATAGCTGTATGTGAACAACATACACAGATAAGAGCTGTTGGAATAGATACAAATATGCTAACTTTACCTTTAAAATGTTGCCTGGCTATGACTGTTGATTTGGATTAATGATTTTAGTTTGTAATGAAGAATCAAAGTGGAATTGCCTTTTCTCACACACTGTTGGTCTTTCTGTACATGAGGCAACAAGCTATCCCAGTTTGAGAGCAACTAAGACTACAAAGTGTGCCTTTAATTAATTAATTTCTCTATTGGCATCGACTGGTGCACATTACTTCAAAGGGATCATTTAATATAACCGATACTGGCATATGTGAGTTTACAGGAGAAAGTAATTTATTGCTAAATGTTCATTTAGAAGTGGATAATTACTGTATATTATTGGACACACATGTGCCCTCAAGATGATTGCAATGATTGCTAAGACACAAAAAGAGAAAATACATTTCCTGTGAAAGACACATTGAGATTGCATGAATGTTTTCAATCTATATTCTGTTAATTTGTCCTTACTCTTCCAAGCTTTAGTTGACACTGTATAAATGCATTTAAAAATCTATCACCCAGACACCCATTATAAGAAAGAAGAGAAAAACTAATCTGAATGTTGTTAATAAATAGTATGTTATTTAATAGGACAACTATAGGCAAACAGTTGTAACGCAGCAGTTCTGAGCAGACATGGCTGATATTTCTGAAATTTTCCCTTTAGCCGTACGATCACTGATATTTGTTACAAGAGCCGTTTCACATATGGCAAAATTACATTTAATTTGATACTTGCAAATCTTCTTAGCCTGTAATGTAATTGAACAAAACCTGTAAAAAATTAATATGAGAGAAAAGATTTGCATTCCATTTGAGTCAAAAGTATGCAAGTTTTGAAATGGTGCATATTTGAAACTAAAGCATTCTATCCCTTCAATGAAGGTCTGCACAATGCTATTGTTATAGCTTCCTTTTACAAGCTATTTATTTTTCTACCTTCAACACCTAATGTTTTTTTTTTCTTGATGCTGCTGTCTGTCTTATACATGATTGATGTAAGAATTTGAATCAATTAAATGTGTCTACAATAATAAAATTCTTCTTGATTCGTTTGTAAGGCCTCCATGTCAACACATTGTTAACCAATAGCTACATTGTTAGCTTAAGTGTACAAATGAATTCATAAACAGAGTTGGGCAAGTTACTTCCAAAATGCAATACATTATATATTACTAGTTACTGTCTTTTGAAAGTAATTAGTTACGTTACAATATTTATACATAATGAAATTTTGAACAGACTTATTTTTTATGATTTTGCTAATACAAACGGAGGCACTCGACTTCGTGATTTATCGGGATGTGACGATGCTGTCAAGAAGCGACAGTACTTCTGTGCAAGTGTCAGAATGCTAGCGGCTAGTTAGCTCGCTGCTGGATCACATTAATGCGCTTATAGTTGTCTTACATTTCAACGGATTCGTCCATTCTTTGTTACCGGTGAGCTGCACAGATATACATCCAACGCAAGTAATGTTTCGTACACTGTTGACACTGACGACACTGTTTTAGCCGTCGTCAGAGATTAGCTAGCTAGCCAATGAATGCAGCAGGTTAGCTGGACGTTGTTTTCGGACTCTGAAAACCGTAATGCATCTTCATTTTCTTGAGTATATTTTATGCACGAGTTTCTGATAATGTCACATTGTTAATGCGCATTGGGCTTTCATATATTAATCGTAACCTATCTCTCTAGTTTACACATCGCACAATAGCAGGCCACATCCAACCTGTCAAAATACGCAGTTTTTGGTGATTCAGAAATTCAAGTGTGCATCAGATGCATCCATCTAAAGCTTCGATTCGGGAGTTGGATATAAACAAGTGAGAATTATACTGTTACGGCTACTACATGGGAATAAATGTTTGCTATTTGATACATAAACAAAAGCAACTCGTGTGTAAAGCCACGCCCCTCTAACTTTCTCTAAGAGAGAATTTGACAGCCATCAATAAGATGCCATTGTCCCTTCCCGTAACTATTAATGAATGGGTGATGTCTGTAATTAAGTTTTTATTTTATTTAATATTTTTTGATATTGGTATGGCATTTATGATACGTTCCCCCTAAACGTCCCTTTCTAAAATATTTTAAGTGGGTAATTCAGGATAAATCTTAAATCGTTATATATTTTGAACCTGTTTTGGAAGCCTTTTAAAGGAATAGTTAACTTAAGAAAATTAAAAAAAATCTTATTCACCTTTGTGTTTTTCCAAACCGCTTTCTTCTAATAATGATGATGATATGATGAAAAATTGTCAAATTTTCATCCTTCCTAAAATATAATAGTTAGTAGTTGATTTATACTTATTTAAATATCCGGGTTGTAATGTATATTTTCTATGTAAGCCCATTTTCATCACGTAAAAAAAAAACTTTTGTAAATCATAATTCTGACATAAAAAGTCAAAATGATGACATACTAATTTATAATTAAGACATAAGTCATAGTTATGACATGTTGATAGTTGATATTTTGAATCTGATATTTTTGTCATAATGATGTCGTAATTTTGCCTTTTATGTCAATTTTGCTTTTTTGTGGCAGAAATGGGCTTCTATAATTTTGTTCACAGTACTTTTTTGCTAATTTTTTAGAATAATGTTGGTGTGGGCTATAAACCTTTAAAACAAACTAATTTAATTTATTTACTGTTAATAAGTTACTTGGTTAACTCTAATGTCCTTAAACGATGCATTTTATAAACATTTTCACAAAAAATGTGCAGTGGCAAAAGGATATATGACTATTTTATAGCTCTACGCGTTCATTTGTCCCTAAATTGTTGTAAAGTCTCTGTCACTGTGGAATGCATCTTGCCGTTCTAAGAATTGAAAGTATTATCTTTCTAAGAATTCAATGATTTTTTTTTTACTTACTTCTTGCTTACTTCATTTCCACTGCAGTTGCAAACATTTACCAGCGTGAGTCAAGGACCAGAGATGATCTTTTTCTCTCTAAACCCAGCCGGACTCATTTGGATATCCATATAGTTTAGACATATCTGCCATCCCTCTGTTAGCTGTCAGCTGGATCCAAGCAATGCAATATCAGTTTTCGGCAGATGTTATTTGAGGGAGTTTATTTGGGCTTGGAAATGTGACAAAATCAAGATTCCTCAGCTCTGAATCATTCTAAGTATGCGCTTGTGCTTTGTGTCATAAGGACCACTGGAACTGAAAAGTGCTGAAGGTGTAAAGCCGCGTGTCTTCTGTCTGTATAAGTAGCTTTGCTAGATCAGCAGTGAGGAGAAATTTTCCTTCCCAGTGACATAAGTGAGATGGATGAACTATTACTTGGGAGGAAAACATAAAAAATGTACAATTTGAAAAAGTCATTTTTTGCAGGTACTTTTTTATTATTACACACATAATATTTAATAAAAAATTTACAGTAGGCTGTGTGCAAGATATTTGGAGTTCTCATGTTTTTGCAATACTAATGTTTAACAATTAATCGATTGTTAAAGGGATAGTTCACCCAAAAATAAAAATTCTGTCATCATTTACTCACCCTCATGTTGTACCAAACCTGCATGGAAGAAAGAAAGTCATACAGGTTTGACACTTTATGAAATTATGTCGAGTTAATGTTGACAGAATTAAAATTTTTGCGTGAACTATCCCTTTAATTTGAATGATTATGAATATTCCTGCAAACTTACATCCCTACTTCAAATATTCAGTTACAGATTGTGTCATGTTTAGAACAACAACAGAACAAAAAGCTGTTGTAGCTCAATGGTATCCAACCATGTAAACATAACTTGCTTTTATTAGCCATTTTGTTGCACTAAAGTATCTTATTCTTTCCAGGCAGTCCAGACTCCTCTTCCTGCTGTGAAGGATGGGTGTGAAAACCTTCACTCACAACTCCCCCAACCACAGCCAAGAGCTTTTAGATAAGCTCAACACCCTACGCAGTGAGGGCCACTTTTGTGACGTCACCATCCGCGTACAAGGCCAAATGTTCTCGGCCCACAAGGTAGTGCTAGCCTGCTGTAGTGACTTCCTTCGAGCGAAGCTGTCTGGGAAGCCGGCTGAAGAAGACACTGTAATAGTAGGTGAAGATAACAAACATGTGCTGGATCTCCAACACGTGACGGTCGCAGGTTTCGCTCCTCTTCTGGAATATGCGTACACGTCCACCCTGTCCATTAGTACGGAGAATATCATCGACGTACTGGCAGCTGCTAGCTACATGCAGATGTTTGCGGTGGCCAACACTTGCTCTGAGTTCATGAAGTCCAGTATTCTGTGGAACTCTGCATCCTCAGCAGCAGGAGGTCCTGGTAGCACCCAGCCTCCAGTTTTACACAGACCCCAAGAGACCCCTGAAGGCCATGCGAGCTGCACCCTCGCCCCTGTAGATGCCCTCTCGCCGTCTCCGGTCTCATCCGAATGCAGCGTACCGGAGCGGCCCATTCCTGTGTGCCGCGAGTCTAGACGCAGGCGCAAAGGCTTTGCGAGCCCGCAACCAGCATCCTCAACCTCTCCGCAAGTCCCCAACCCCTCTCCCTCCTCTTCCTCCTTCCCAGAGAGTTCAGCGCAGGCTCTGGAACCATCTCTGGCCTTCTCCTGGACATACCCCTTTGGTGTGGACCGGCGGTTTGCGGCAGAAAAGTCAAAACTACCTGAAGGCCTCCTGGAACCATCTGGAGCACCGGGGCAGGACTCTAGTGGACGGGCATTGGTGGAGTATTTGGCCTGCGAGGGCCCACATGGCCTGGGCGTAGGGGGCGCAGCAGGGGTGGAGGAGGAGGAAGAAGAAGATGTGCAGGTGAAGGAGGAAAGGCTGAGTGATGAAGAAGTGCATGAAGAAGCTTCTCAACCAGTCAGTGCTCCACACAGTTCTCTGAGTGACCAGCAGACGGTTCCTGGCAATGAACACACCCAAGAAGATCTACTCATCAGCCCTCAGTCCTCATCCATTGGTAAGACTCTTTACTCTTTACCTAATAGTGATACCCTAAATTTATTTCGATATTTTGGTTCATGTGGTGTGACACTCGAAAAAGTAATGAAATGTATTAATTAATAATTCATGATGTTTGTAAAAAAATAAAAGATTTTTTAAAAAGAAATTAATACTTGTATTTAGCAAGAATGCATTAAATTGATCAAAGTGACAGTAATGACATTTATAATGTTACAAAATACTGTTACAAAAATAAATGATGTTCTTTTTAACTTTCTATTCATCTAATAATCCTGAAAAATAGCAATGACTGTGAATTAATAATAATTGTTATTATTTTAATAACGTTAATAATATTTGTGATAAGCTTTGCCATCAAATATGATATAATAGAAAACAAATATTGTATTATTTCACCATATTAGTTTTACTGTATTTTTGGTCATATGAATGCTGCCTTGGTGAGCAAGAGTCGTCTTTTAAAAACACTCTTACTAGCCCCAAAAATTTCAATAGCAGTGTATATTTCACAACACTTTTTGCAATTATGATGTGTTTTCATTCATATGAAAAAAAAAAATTCTTGATAGTTGCACATGACATTTAAGTCATTAAATTGAAACCTTCCTGAAAGTTCTTCCAAACCATAAGAAATCAACATGAATACAAAGAGTACATTTATAAGAAATGTTTTAGAAATCAAGTTTAGAACACATGTGACATTTCTTTATTGTAAGCACTTTCATTGTCATGTCATTCATGTCATTGACCCACGTGTTTAGTGAGTCAGTAGATTATCAAAGTCATAATTGCTGTTAACATTTCACTGGATCAACCTTATGTTTACTTAACTTTTAAATGTCATATTTACCTCATTTATCACACTGTTACTCTCTGATTGTTTCATGCACTTATGAGAACATTTGTCTGAGGCTGTATCCGTTTAAAATAAAAGTAGATGACAAAATATTAAGATTTTACTGGAACAGAGGTTCAGAAACGGCCTTCTGCTCTCTCTTCAGGCTCCCTGGATGAGGGGGTGACGGAGGGTCTCCAATCCATGCAGGGCACTCCAAACACTACTGGTCACATGGAGGAGGATGAGAGGTAAGACCCCTTTGGTGTCTGTGTTGTTTTTACAGAGTATCCTTTTACGACGTCTCAATTTTATGATTGAACTAAAGGGACCCTCTGAGGAGGGACATAATATTTTAGTCTTCTCATCATCGTCTTTCCTCATGTATACTTACTTATTAAGCAGAAGAGGCTTCTGTGATATTGTAGTGGCTATTCAGATGGGGATTTCTTGCCAAGAGGCCAGAGAAGCTAGTTGGCAGACTTTCTGGAAACTTCTTGGACCTGAATTTGCCTTTTGGAATACTGGAAGAATAGGGAAATGGTATGATGCAAAACAAATGGGATAAAAAAGACACTGCTTTCCTTCTTAGTAGTGAAGTCTGCTTTTATATGACAACTTGATATACCTGACTAAATGTCTTATATGTTAGCCTTAAACCTTTGTGGGCTGATCTCTGTGGATCTGTAGACAAAGGAAATAGTAGTGGTAGCATGAATACAAGTAAAATACTCAATAGGCTATTTGAAGACTAGTGTGACACATTCCCACCCAAATTTACATTTATTCATTTAAAGTGGTCATGAAATAGAAAATCTAAATATCCTATATATTTACACATATAAGGGGTTACAATAAAACAATACTAATAAAAAAGTACTACAATAAAAAAGTACTGCAAGTTTCATCCCAGTCGTGACATCATGGTTTTCCTCTAAATGTTGTAACACACTAAACAAGGAAGTCTGCCGAGCAGTCATGAGAGCAATACTGTTGTCTATAGGACTGTCTTCAAAAACTCTGCCCTTCTTTCTTTTTTGGACCACAAAAAGAATCATTTAAAAAAAAAAAAAAGTCCTATTTGTGCTTTTCCATGTAATGAAAGTATATGGCAATCAACATCAAGCTTTTAAAAAAGAAAGTATCACAGAGTGGTCACATGCGACACGTGATGTATATACCATGTTTTCTGCGGGTATATGATAGGGTTTGGTAAGAAACAGACTGAAATTAAACATTATTTAAGAAATATCCTGACTTTGCGTCTGTGATAACTCGCAACAACAAGTTATTCAACTCGGTTTTTAAAGTTATTCAACTACACATACTTTTTGAGGGGGTTTCTAGACGTTGTTTTTCCGTGTCCCATTTTTTATTTGTTACATAATGTTAAAGGGGTCATATGATGCGATTTCAAGTTTTCCTTTCTCTTTGGAGTGTTACAAGCTGTTCGTGAATAGATAAGATCCCTAAATTTGCAAAGACTAACCTACCTAAAATGGCTCGTTCTAACACGCCCCCACATGTCTACGTCACTGTGTGGGAAGATTTGCATAACACCGCCCAAATGTTCATGCAAAGAAAGAAGGCGTAACTTTATTGTTGCTGCCACCGGCGCCGCCATGTTGTGAAGACGCCGTGTTTCGTTGCGAAAACGAAACTACTTTGTTTGGCCTTCCAAAAGAGGACATGACTAGAAATCAGTGGTTAAGTTGTATTTACAACACCGTTCCAGAACAGTTCAACCCAAATATTCAGATGTGTGCAGCGCATTTTATGGAGGACTGTTTCCTGATCCTGGGAGAGTAGACTACAATGCCGGCTGTTCTGACTCACAGACTGTAAGTACGTTTTCATATTTAAAGAATTTGCCACTGATGATTCAAACGCGAGTTTTGAGCAGTGTAGAGTAGCGCTTGTTGTTTGTCATTTCTCTGATCACAAATGCAGACATGGTTTTATGTTGCAAAGCAACGCGTAAAAAGACAGTAAAAGTCATTATAATCCGTAATTATGTGGTTTTTTTGCCTTAAACCGCATAAACACATTTCATTACACCAAATACACAAAATAATGTTATTTTAAGCAACATCATATGACCCCTTTAAACTTAAGTTTGTTTCTAACCAAACCGTATTGTATACCCACAGAACACTTGGAATATTCGGCACATGTCTCGTGACCATTCTGTGATACTTTTGTGTCTTTTTTAAAAGCTTGATGTTGATCACCATATACTGGCATTAGATGGAAAAGCATGCACAGGACTTTTTTTTTTTTTTTTTAAATCTCCTTTTGTGGTCTGAAAAAGAAAGAAGGGCATACGCATTAGAATAACACAAGGGTGAGTAATTGATTAATTAATTTTCATTTTTGAGTAAACTATCCCTTTAATGACTACTAAGACTCTGTGTGCAGTTGGCTCATCTAATTTAGTCTCTTATCCTGTCACTCTTTCTTCAGGCTGGAGAATGTCCAGTACCCATACCACCTGTACATTAGCCCTTCCACTCGCCCAGGACTCAACAGTCCTGAACGGCCCTTCCAGTGCCCTACATGTGGCGTCCGCTTCACTCGAATACAGAATCTCAAGCAGCACATGCTCATCCACTCTGGTGAGAGAACCTCTGCTATTACTGGACTCGACATTGACAGGGGCATTGCATGTGAAAAGAAAGAGAACTTTTTTACATTTTGCTTTTTTAAAAGGGACTCTTAGGTCTGGGCAATAAACAATATCATATTGAGTCTGCAATAAAATAGATTTTTATAATGATAAGCTCAGGACATTTTAAACCTATGGATTAATCTAACAGTCTGTCACACTGCAGAAATAAACAACAGCAAATCGGTGCATGCCACTGATATCACAGATTTTATCATCTGCCATCGTAGATCATCAGTATCATACATACAACCAAGGTATTTTTTAATCTATGTTTCAATTAATGGTGAATGAATATCGTGATAAATATTGATGTCGTATGAAAGAATAGTTTTGGCCATATCGCCCAGCCCTACTGAAGAGTAAAAACACTACGTGACCTAATAAGATTATAGTGACTACAATATAGTGTTTGCAGTCCTTTGTGGATAACTTCTGTCTATGAGCATTTTGCTAATACTTCAGCTACTAAAACTTTATTGGTGAGTTGAAATGTTTTAGGATAGCTGACTTAAGCTTTCACACTAGAACATGGAAAAGCTTAATATCGGGCCCTGTATTACATAAACGTCTTGTTTGGAGAAGAAGACAACATGATTCACCCTAATCTCTTAGTTAGTTTATACAGAGATGGCGTTTTGTTTGCTGTTGAATGTCCAAACAGAACTCCTCATTACAGCGATTAGTTATGGACTGGTGAAAGCGATTGTATGCAATTGGTTTAGATGTGGGTTAAATGAACAACATACCTAACTTGACATACATTGCTAGATTGAACCTTCACAATAAACATTATTTGCATGAGCAGAATGATGTGTTTGGTTATTTTGTCATTTCTCAGCAGCAGGTGTAGCTCAGTTAGCACACAGCCTACTAAAACAAAGACACATTCTTGTTACGTTCCTTTCAGTCTCATTCAGCTTCAGTATTTGATAATTATGTCCTGTTTTCTGATATAGGAGACTATCATTTTTTTACATCTTTCTATAGGTATTAAGCCATTCCAGTGTGACCGCTGCGGGAAAAAGTTTACGCGGGCTTACTCTCTGAAGATGCACCGGCTGAAGCACGAAGGTAAACGCTGTTTCCGGTGCCAGATCTGTAGTGCCACTTTCACTTCCTTCGGTGAATATAAGCATCACATGAGGGTGTCTCGCCACATCATCCGCAAGCCTCGGATTTACGAGTGCAAAACGTGCGGCGCCATGTTTACCAACTCCGGCAATTTAATCGTACACCTGAGGAGTCTCAACCATGAGGCGTCAGAACTAGCAAACTACTTCCAGACCAGGTGAGGAAGAGCTGAACATTCTAAGAAAATATAGAACAAATTTAGTTTTGTACAGTCGGCCATTCATCCCATGTTGAGGTAGCAGATGCGTTTTTTGAATTGGGGGTAGAAATTATTTAACTGTATAGAAGAGAATATGTATTAGGTAAAATTGTAACACTTCACAATAAGGTTAAATTCGTTAACAATAGTTAACACATTAGGTGTCATGACCTAACAATGAACAGTACTTTTACAGCACTGTTAATACTGATTAATGTTTAACTTACAAATAAATAATGCTCACCAAGTCTAAATTAATTTGATCAAAAACAGAGTAAAATAGTAATATTGTGAAACATTATTACAATTTAAAAGAACTGTTTTCTATTTTAACGTATTTGAAAATGAATCTATTTCTGTGATGGCGAAGCTGAATTTTCAGCAGCCATTACTTCAGTCTTCAGTGTCATATGATCCTTCAGAAATCATTTTTATTCTGATTTGGTGCTCAGGTAACATTTCTTATTGTCAAAATTGAAAAAAAAGTTGTGCTGCTTAATATTTTTGTGGAAACCGTGATGCATTTTTTTCCCAGTATTCTTTGATGAATAGAACGTTAAATTTATTAGTCATAAGACATTTTAACAACTTCAAAGTCTTTCATGTCACTTTTATGCATGCTTGCTGCATACACATATTAATTCTTTGGCAAAATCTTACTGACTGCAAACTTTTGAACAGTAGTGTGTACATTTTTAACATTTCAATTAATATAAAGCAATTCATGTATTATGAACATACAATAATTACCAATGAACAGTAGTTTATAATTATTATAAATAATTTATAAATTAACATTAACCTAGATTAATCAGTTCTGTAATGATTGTTAGTTCATGATACCTAATGCATAAACTAATGTCAACCGATTGAACCTGTTTGTAGAGTATTCCTAATAAAACATTGTGTATTTTCAAAGAGAGTTGTAGGTGATAGGTTTTTCTCGTTGAGATGTGATTGACAAAATGCATCCATCAGATGAAATGTCTTTCCTGCTTAGTTTTAACAGGTTTAACGCAATTCAGGGTAACACCCAGTTGCATTGTACTGCATTTGGCAGAACTTACTTGATGAATAGAGCTTTCAGGAAATCACTGAAATCTCCTCCATTGACTGTCTCGATTAGTATTATGAAAAGTACAATGTTTATTTGTTTCTGACTAGCTTTAACACATGGGCATACACACCCTTCAGATTTCCTTTTATTCTATTCTTAAACTGGCACGTGTATCCTCCTAGATGTGTTCTCCAGAGAAAACCAACTAAGCGACTTTCATTTGAAAACAAGTATTTTCTAAATGGAATAATCATGGCTTTGATTCCATTTTGGAAGTAGCGAGAGTTGGACTGTGTATTAGGAAAAGAGGCACTGAGATGTAAACATTTGGAGCGAGCAGGGAAATCAATCCTACGTCAGCTAATTACTGCTGAATAGGTTTTTAAAATGAAGTTCTCAAAAAAGCTCAGTGGAATCATTGTCTGTATTTCAGAGGAGACTCTTCTGAGGTAACCTTCAGCACGGTAGCCCTTCATTAAAGCAGAGGGAAGGGAGTCAGGTGCTTTTATGCATTGAGTTCCTTCTACACATAGACTCCCTTACTTCATCCAACCGTTTATTTGGTTTAAGCCCTCTCTCTTAGGATCTGTGTTCTATTCATCTTTGTCAGGCACAAATAAACAGTGTCTATGCAAGTTACAGTGCTGAGGCAATAGTTTGACTCTGGCATGTGCTTATTAAGAGAGGGAGTAGTCGTGTAGTGTATCCCGATAAAGTTTTATGTGTTGTGATTGCAAGAAACAGCCAGCATTACGGCCATAGTTTTCAAAGTGCTTTACTTTCAGGTACATTTTCAGGAGTTAATTTCTAAGTAAAATTTTAAGAGGTGCAAAAATTCACAATTTTAAAATATATTTTAAATTATTGTTTGTAATAAAGAATTAATACCTGTCAAAGTTTTGCTTTGTGCAAGAGTGCAACGACTTGCTGTGAAAAAAATAGGAAATGATGTCATTAGTATCTAAGTCCAATTCATGGATTAAACCATCAGTGTTTGAACTGTGATTGCTTGCTATATCACTTTTTCTGCCAAGCCACAATCCTCAATCTAGTTTTGAATTTTGACTTTCGTTTAGATAGCTGCAGTGTTTTGCCAGAGGACATTTTGCCAAAATGTATTGTTAGACTTGAACATGCTTGGACTGGCTGTCCGTAATAAAAAAAATAAAAAAATCTAAAGAATCTTAGACTCATATACCAAGCTTGAAACACAATCTTGGATGAATCATAAAAACTTCTTTTTTTGACAAATAACTTTGTTTTGACCTTGCGTCTGAGTGGTTTGACATCCTCAGATTGTGGCTTCACAGAGGAGACTGAAAGCAATAACTTTTATTTCAACCTACTTTTGTGTTTTAGTCCCATTAAGTAAGTATTTTTCATGAAAAAGTTTGAGCTTATAGTGCTTAGAAACCAATGAAGGTACTACGATTCTAAAAGACGGTTGTAAAGATCATTAAACTTGTCGGTTTTACCTTAAGTTGAGTTAGTTTATGACTTTCTGAACATTGGCCCTTCTCTCCCTTTTTTGCCCTAGTGAGTTCCTCCTCCCAGACTACCTGAGTCACATGCAAGAGGAAGAGGGGCTGGGACACTTTGAGATGAGTGAGCAGACCTTTGAAGCTTCTTCCTCCTCTTCCTCGGTCCAAACACCAGTTATCTCTCAAGTTTCCTCTACCATGAACTATGACAACCACACTTCTGCACCTCCTTCCCAAACCCCAAACCCCAGGTCAAGGAACGGAGTGGAGGCCGCACAAGGGGACCACCCGAAGTCCACCGCTGCTGTTACCTCTCTGCAAGACCCAGAGGAAGACGAGGGAGAGAAGGAGAGAGGTGGAAGAAAGAAGAAGAGACTCGTGTCAATTACAATTGAGTGAAAACGTTCCATAAGTGTAAACATGTATAATAACAGTCAGTGTCCTGTTGCACATTCAATACTTCTGTTGTCGACGGTTTATTATACTCTCAGAAAAAAAGGTACCAAAGCTGCCATTGGGGTGGTACCATTGAAAAAGGTACACCTTTGTACCTTATTTATCCGTAAAGAGCACATATTAGTATCTTAAAAGTATTAGTACCTAAAATGTATATATTAGTACCTAAATGGTACATTTTAGTACCTTCTGAAAGGGTACCACCCCAGTGACAACTTTTGTTCTGAGAGTGTATGTTTTAACAGCTTATAAACTTGGTGTAATGCCTTTTAATTTGTGTAGGTTACTTTAAATTGTTGTAAAATCACATTTGATTTGGATTTACATACAAATCTATCTGAAAGAGTGATCATGGTTCTAAATTTAAAAAAGGAAGAAAAAAAACATGAAATAAAAAATTTGACTTTTTATTAGTAACCCATTAATATCTGTGACTAAAATGAATTTGTTCCATGGAAGCACATTTTTTTTATTTAATTATATTTTTATTCATAATTCATAATATAAATTTGTTTTTACCGCTTTGTGGTGGTCTGTCAAAAAGAATCAAATTGTATACCTTTTTTGCATTATGTTCAGCTATGACTGATTTTTCTTTTTATTATGCGACTTCTTTTTCTCCCATTTCATGTCTGCACCCTAACTATCGCAAACTGCCCCTTCCGACTGTAAACAAACCTGTTACAAACTGGGAAGATTCAATCCTCTGAGGACCGTTCCAAAAAATGTGAAAGACTGTGTTACTCCTTCCATGTGTGTTCAGAGCGGAAACAAAACAACCACGAAACCCTGACAATGGGTGGTTGTGCATTGACTGACTAATCTAATGTGCTTTAGTGTGTTCTTTTGAATGCGTGTATATGTGAAGAGTAGCCCTGTTTTCCTAGCCCTCTTTTCTGCTGCATGTGTAATGCTGCTAAATTTTGTAAACTGTGCCTCTTGCCCAGCTCTCCGAACCAATTCGATCTAAAGAGCTGTATGTGAATTCTTTGGGTTTAACATTCTTCTTTTGATTGTGACATATGGAAGAATTGTCAAATGGGTCAAGTTTTAATAGAGTGGAAGGAAGGTGATATTTCCATAGCCTTTCCCATTTTATTGCTGTTGGAATTATACTATGGAATTTTCTCCCAAAGCTTGATGCCATAGTTGTATGTGCCTAATATTCTCCCAAACAAAGTTTATGAACACCTTGTGACTATGGCATGAGCCTTGATCGAAGATGTAACTTGATTGCGACTTTGGAATATGTAGCATTTGTTTTGTTCGGTAGTCGTAACGATCGCGTATCTTCGCTTCCTTCGTGTGATATTGCACCTGGCAATCAGTCAGTCTCGAAGCTGCTCCATTCCAATATGATTTTGTAGGGAACAAAAAGTTTTAATAAGCGTTGTGCAATATTGTTTTGGATGATTCACGTGGTCCAAAATTAAAACCTTTAATACTGCAGTGGACAATGAGCTGAATGACTGAAGATAATGAAATACAGGAAGGGGGCTAGTCGAGGGAAAAGGCTAAAGCATGTGCCCTGCGATAAACCATTCATATGAATTGTTAGTGTACAAACAGTGAAAGAAATAACATTGTGTTACAAAAACTAGGTCACAATATCTTTCTCTGATGTCATTTCCCTTGAGACGGTCTCCCGCTTATCTCACTCTCCATTTTTGCGACCGCCGGCTGTAGCTCAAACTCAATTACTTCATAGTCTGAGAGTTTGTAGTGACGCATTTATCCATAAGACAATATTGGCTGTCTGTCCCAGATTGCTCTTTGTGCTACTTGCATGTTTTCCGTGCAAAAAGAAATATGGTGGGGGAAAATCAATATAGCATGGGTTGATTCGTTTGTTGGATGTTGTTTCAGATATGTGCAACTACCATTTTGTATACAATATTCAATCTTTGGTGTTCAGTTGTTTGAGCAGAAAGAAAACGTGACATTTCAGTAGTCATAATGCTTTTTTCCAAATTCTGTATCAATGACAGTTACCTTAAAAAGTGTCAATTTGTACATTTGTAATATCAATGTGAGTGTGTAGTTATTTAACTTGAGCCTCGTAGTGTTCGCTTTTGTGACCATGTCTTATTGATATATATATACTCTATATTCTTTTTTTAAAGCCTATAGTTTTAGTCGTATCTTGTGCCTTTGGATATTGGATCTGTATTGTATTTTTATTGGCATAAACATGCATTGATATGAATTCATAATGTTTTGTAGACAGAATGCTGGTAGACTTCAAATGTAGCTTGAAACTAAAAATATTTTTGAAGTGCTATTCGACACATGGTTTAAACTGTATGTTTTGTGTTTATTTTCATAAAGACAAATGTATTCGTCGTTTTGTATCTCTTCAGTGGTTCTTATCATCCGTTTCTGTGCCAATTCAGATTTATTGAATGATGTTTTGTAAAAACATTACGTACATTAAGATTTGCAGTAAATGGTTACAGCCTAACACTCCAAGTCTGCTTAAATTCATTGCTTCCATTCTTATTGCTAAATACTCATTCTGGTTTATGTATTTGCCATACAATATTCCAATATATATATAAACTAATGTTCAAATTTTTTTTTAAAGAAATTAATACTCTTACTCAGCAAGAATGCTGTTCTTTTTAAACTGTCTCTTACTTAATCAACCCTGAAAAAAAATGTATCAAGGCTTTCCAAAAAGATATTAATAATAATATTCTATATTGATGATAGGATATTTGATTTCTAAAGGTGACACTGAAGACTGGAGTAACAGCTTTGCCATCACAGGATTACACTTTAAAATATTAATTCTATATTTGATTAAATATATATTAAAATAGAATAGTTACTTCAGTTTGTAATTATATGTCATTGCTGTTTTACTCAATTTTGGCAGCCTCGGTGAGCATTAGAGACTAAAAATTAAAAAATCTTACCAAACCTGCAGTGTATGTGTGCATATGGCTTTTATGTATGACTTTTGAACTGCAGTGTATCTGTGCATATACTATCATTCAACTAGGTAAATAAAGTTCAGAATAAATCTGGGGCCCCATTTAAAAGAAAAGCATACATATTTGATCTTAGAGTGTGCGTATGCTAAAAAGCCATGTCAACGTTCAGATATATAAAAACTCCATTCTCAAGTCAACGATTTGGCTGTTGACTGGTGCTCTTTTATGTAATAATGACATTAATTAGGGGGCGTTTACAATGCAGAGATTTAGAACTTTTTATAAATGAGGCCCTAGGTTCCTCTATACAGGTATGTGTATGTATATGACCATGTTCATAAACTGCTGAAAAGTTTTTGCACTGCATATAACATCTCACTTGACATTTTGTGTGAATATACCAGGGGTTTCTATCTCAGAAAAAAACTCTGGTGTGTGAAAGGACGGTAATAAGGAAATTCTTGGCAAACAGGTGCACAAACACATGCTAAAAGAAACAATGAGAGCCTTTTAATTTTGCCTTGGCATTCTAGATGAAGTTTTTGTGACATGTCACAGTATTTGCAGAGTCCAAGCACCTGCTTGTGATTTGGTGTCCTCTGGCTGCGTGACCCACATCAACCCTGGAGGGGTGGTTAAAGAAAGCCCTAAAAGTGGGTCAAGTCAGATAACGTTCACAAAATTAAGGGTTTTGATTCATCGTGACTGAACTACTATCTTAAAATGTCAAAAACTGGTCCAGAATCTATTTGATAATGATGTCTGTGACATTGATAATGACCACTTTTAGTTTTCCACTGCTGTTGGCCACATCAGTGCTTCAGGCAACATGACCTAGTATCGCTTTAATTTACTGTGAAAGATATCAATGGTTCTACCGGGCATAAATCTAAGGGCACGTCTTGTGCCAAACCTTTTGCCTTCTACACCTGCAAACATTAGTCAACTGGAGTTATATAACAACCACCTTTTGTCAAGCTTTTATCTATTTTGTGGTGCTGGATTAGAGTTCTTCAATATGGCCCCACAATCCTTTTTATTCCATACCAAAGCATATCAATATTGAATACAGACTACTATGCTTCTGTGTAAACTTTGTTCAAGTTTTGAAAAGGAGCATAAAATGTATCATTTCATTCCCTACAATTCGATTTTCAATGTCCTTACATTCTAATGACTTCACATATTTTTTCCTGTGTTCTTGAACTTGAGTTACACATGGCATTTCTGTATAAACCCAATCTTGCATTATACATGGCAGCTACTCTTCAAATTGCTTTCCTTAATGGACCTAAGCGCTGTGGGTTGGATAAAAAAAATAATACAAGACATGTTTATTATGATTTATTTTAAGCAGAACTAGTTGAGTCCTAAAGTGATTTCAGACATTTTACTCATTTCCGGCACTTTGGTTATTTCAACAATACTACTTCCAAAATCCTGCATAAGCAAGGGGCCATTCCTGATCGGCTGAAAAACCACAGGCTGCTCTAATGACTCTCTTTTTTGCTGCTGAGCCTGGGATTGTCTTGTAATTTCTCAAGACGATCATCTGCCAGGTAGGGACATTTAATATGTGGTATTTTTTTAAAAAAACAGCTTACAGCACCTTTATGTCTTCATCGCTAATGACATTTCAAATGTGTTTCGAGTAAAGAGGACTGAAAAGAATTTGCTCCACGCTGGTCAGTCTTCACAAGGAGAGCTCCACCGTCACCACTGTTATGTAATGGTCAAACCAAAGAGAGTAATTGGAAAGTGTTTCAATATGGTTCTTGTTCCAGTGATTGCTATTTCAAATAATGCCTCTTTTTTTATAAACTCCTTGATCAATTCACTTCTCTTCTTTGCCAACGCCTCTTAGTCAAGTAGAAAGGTTCCAGCAATGGTGAAATCATATTTATCAAACAGGATCCCAAAAAAAACTAAATAGATATATGCGAAATGTTCTCCAGATGCAGAGGTTGTCTAAATATGATATAAAAGCATCTGAGATGCAGAGTGCTTGCTCTTCATAACATTCATCACATAATGTATAAACACGGGTCCAAATAGCATCATTTATTTCTCTTCTGATGATGCTCCATTTTGACATCTGGCACTGATTTGATTTACACAGCAGATTTGTCATAAACCATTGACCAAGACCATTAGCAAATACCATTAGTCTTTCAGATTCAGAAATGAAATGCCTCGGTGACTTTGATTTACCACCAGCCAGACTGGATTTCTTTTGAGATTCTGGAGGCTGTATTTATTTACTACAAATATAATGTTTCTTTTGGGAACAAGTAAGCATATACTGACTAAGCTTAACCCAAAATGAAGATTGTAACATGGTACGCTCCCATTTTTGTCTCTCTCTCTCTCTCTCTCTCTCTGCCACAGTCAGTCTACGATCATATCTCTATCTGGAGGTGATTATGCCAGTGTCCACCTGTGCTGGATTAGGCTGCATAGTTACTGTTCTTGTTATGTCAAAACAAGAAAGCC